AGTTTTAGTATGGTGTAGGCTGTTTTTTTTGGTTGTTTTTTTTTTTTAAGTTTTGTATGTTTGTAGAGTAGGGAAAGAATGATGCCTATGACTTTGGAAGTGTGATGCCTTTCTTTGACCGCCAAACTTGTTTTTTGTTGTTGTTTTTGAATTATATCTTTATATAAATGTTGACTTTTTCTTATTTCCCAAGTGGTGTTAAGTATCACAGTAGTAAATAAACATGGCTACCATGGGAATCAGGGGCTATTCGGACCAGACAGCAATGATTGATGGCCAAGGCAAATGGTCTGTGGCTCAATTTAGGATATATTTCAGGGGCTGTTTTTTTTTCCCTGATTCTGAACACAATTTTCAATTTCTCTTTTATGTGAAGACCAAAACTAAAGTAAGATCGTTCACGTCCCAACCTACCCCAGTCTAACTTATGGCAGGATTTCTGCATTCACAAGGGAGGCCATGATCCTCCAAAACTGTTGTCCAGGATAAAGGCATATTTTCCAGACTGACATTGTGGTTATTTTCAAGGCTTGAGAACAGTGAGATCACCAGTGCTGCCTTATGTCTGAGCCACAATCTTTCCCACATTTGACATCATGCTGAGCTATACCTGGATTTCTCTTCTGTGGGGGACAGTTGAATGAATGTCTGAAAGAAATAATGGTCATTTGCATTTGATTATGATTGGATCTTTGCAAAGTACAGTCTGACTTGAGCCTCACAACAATCTTGTGATGTAGATAGATAATACATGTATTTATTTATTTCTTTTGGATCCATTTGATTTTGTTTATCAGTGTAGGGAATTCTAAATGAGGAAAATACCTTCACCAATGAGGGTAGTTAATTGTTCTGAAACATTTAGTGTTGAGAGTTGCCTGGGTCACAATATCCAGTGTATGTTAGAAGTGGACTTTGAATGCTCTCAGTGGTATTATCCCTGTTTTACAGATGAGGTACCAGGCTCAGCACTGAGACTCCCAACAGGTGACCTAGTTTTATAAACACATTGTCATTGGAATCTCAGGGTATTCATGCCCAATCCATCTTGTGTTCCATGGTCAAGTTGGATGCATTAGTTTAGAAAAGGATACCCAAAACCTGCTTGAGCTTGTCCTCTCTGGATTTGAAGTGTAGTTGGGTATCATCTGTCCTGTTAGCCAAGAATTGGTGTAAAAAAAATTCCTGGGCCAAATTATCCAGAGGTGATTAATCTCTGAGTGTCTTGGTTCCATGACTTCATGACCACTTCTAAAATGCTGCCTGTTCATTGGTATCATCAATTTTTTTTCCCACCCATCTAATTTTAATACTGTTCTAGAGCTAAATATTGATAATGCTATTCATATATAATATGGGAAGTGATTTTCACTCAGAAGGTATGACAAGAGACAATGTGATATCGGTATGTATACATGTATATAGTATACATATATGCGTATATATCACACGTATTATTTATGCATGTATGTGCATGCCATATAGTTTATACATGTATATACACATTGCATACACTATACACATACATATTACATGTATTGTACACATATATGTTATATACAGAGAGAGAGGAGAGAAAAATATCTGGGTTCAAGTCTTATCTCTGATACAAGGCAACTGTTTGACTCTGAGCAAATCACACCACAAGTTTCCCAGGAAAGTCTTTAAGATTATAAATTAAAATTTCAGTCTGCATTGATGGTGAGAGTTTTACACACTGGGAATTCTCTATGTGGAGTCCTCCCCTCCACATGTGACTATCAAACTGATATTCTAATGAGTGTTGTCTCCTTCATATTAGTGCCCTTTGGAGACCATAACATATAATCCAATGATACCTTGTTGTCCCAAAACACTTGATTATGTCACATTTTCTATATTATTCTCTGTGGTGGCAGACAAACCATCTTTTGAGGGTAGACTGGGCTTTTAAAGATAGACAGAAGTCACTCCTTAGCCAAGATGAGTTAGTAATGTGGGTGACTAAGCTGTGGAATACTATCATTGGAGTAGGTGTGTCCTTCCAACTAAATGATTCTCATTTGCACATATATGTTCCAGTATGTTTGTACATGTGTGTATGGTATATACTTCCACTAAATTCCTCTGATGCCACATGGTAGCATGGGCATGATCTGGGTTCTTGAAGTCTATTTCTATAGCAACTTAGGCTTTATAAAGGACGTTCTTAAATAGTTATTTAAGGTAGATTGGGTAAGTAGTAATCATGTTGTATGGATTCAACATTAATTGTACCTTGTATGTGCATGGGACACAAAGATAAAAACAAAATGGCCTCTACCCTCAAGGAACTTCTATTCTGCTGATTTAAGAAACTAAGATGACGAAGATAAATGATCCATTCTGAGGTGATCACATAGTTACTGTTGGAGCTGGGACTAAAACTGAGGTCCTCTGACTCCTAAGACCAGTGTTCTTTCCATTAGTTTCATCATCACTACCATTAACAGACCATAGATCATTCATTGATGAGGTCTGCTCTAAGCCATACTCTTCTAGGTGCTGTGGGAGGTGCAATAAGTAAAACTAGAAGATTGATTTCAGATGGACTCTGACAATTTAGGAATGTGTCCAGAGACAGGTGATCAGGAGAGTGTTTGGAGCCATGATGTATGGTGATCAACCGAAGAAATTAGGGATGGAAAGGAGAAGACCTTCTGGGGCACAGCAGATGGTGGAGAAGTGGTAGATTTCTTCAAGTATTTGAAGGGTTGCCAAATGAAAGCAGTATAAATAAATATGACCTGCTTGGCCCTGGAAATGCAAGTGGAAGTGCAGAGGGCAGAATTTAAGCTTAATATCCTAATGGGCTTCATTTTGAGGTAATGAATTCCTAGTAACTGGAGTGTATCAGTTGGAGTCTTGGTGACATGACATATTTGACCAGAGTGTACGACATGAAAGGGAAAAGAAAGAGGAAACTACAGTTATCCCTTCCACATTGTGGGGGGTTCAGGGTACAGTGTCCCCGTGACCTGGAAAATCCATGTAAAATTTTTTGGCACTCACTTTGTACGAGAGAAGAAGTCAGAATTTTTTCTCTTCTTTTTTGAGATGTTTACCGTATCTTACTGTAAAATATGAGTTAAACTTTCCTGAGTTTCTAAACTTTTTCTGTGTTGTCTGCGGCTTCCACAAGACTACCACCAAATTCCCATTTACAGTAATTTCTTGTGCCAATCTGTGATATATCAAGACCGCAGTGGGAAAAGTCATGATGTGGAAGGGATAACTGCAGTCTGGGTTGGAGCCAGATTGTTCAGGCTCTTACATGCCAGGATGAGTGTATTTTATCCTGTAGGTAATGAGAGCCACTGAAGTTTTTTGAGCAGAGAAGTGATATTCAGATGTGTGCCTTAGTGAAATCAAAGATGTTTTGGAGAAAGGATAATAGTGGAGGTAGTTAGGAGACTAGTTAGGTGAAACATAAAAGAAGACCAGCTAGTTCAGGTGAGATGAAAACTTGAATGAACTGGGGTACCGTCAGCATGAATGAGGAGATGACAAATGAAAGTTTTTTTTTTTTAAGTTAGAATTGTGGTGACAGTTTTTGATTTGGATAAGGAAGTTATGTGAAGTAGAGAAGGGTATAAAATAACTTAAAGGGTACAAGCCCAGGTGACTGGGAGGAAGCAGGTACCAAGACAAGTAAGGAATGGGGACGATGCCATGTTTAGTTTTGAATATGTTGAATTTGAGGTGCAAGTTCACATTCGGGGGTTGATATGGAACTTGAGGTCAGGATACAGATTAGGACTGGATTTGGAATTGATTTGTGTAGGGCTGAGAATCTGACCTTTGGGCTTTTTAGAGATCACCAAGGAGTCTAGAAAAAGGTCTAGTTCAGAACCTTGTGGGATACCCATACTTAGGGGGGGTGGGATGATGATGATGAGCCAGTGAAGGAGATGGAGGAATGTTTAAATTGGTAAAGGATGAAGGGGCCAGAGGTCATTGAGGACAAAGAACAGATTTTGGGAATGAGCCATTGTGACAAGGTGGAGGCATAGGAGATGGTCATCAGAGAACTGAGTTTCAGAGTTCAAGATTTTAGAAGTGGAACTATTTTGGGTAGTGATGGAGTCTAATCATCTTTATGTCTAGTTGAGGTAGTGATGGTGGAGGTCAAGGGAGTTGAGTTTGAAGCTGACTGAGAGACCAATGGGTTTTTAAAAGTCATCAGTATGAATATTGAAGTCTGTGAAGATATAGATGGTTTGGGGGTAAAAAGAAAAACTTGTGAACCAGGAACTGAATTCACTGAGGAAGGAGTTGAGGGAAGTAGAAGTTGGTAATAAATGATTTGACATTTATATATAGCACTTTAAAGTTAGCAAAGGGTGTGTGTGTATATGTACACAGATACATACAATAATATATATTATAGTATGCATATATGTACATATACATACATGCGTGTCTATGTATACACATGGGTATATGTACACACAATGATATAGTGTGTATATACATACATATACATACACGCATGTCTGTGTACACACAATATACACACATGCACACACACATAAACATATATACATACATAAACACACACATACCTTTTGAACAACCCTGAGAGGTAGGTGCTATTATTATCCCTGTCTTACTGATGAAAGATTTAAGTGTCTTGCCATTGAGACTAGAAACCATGCCCTGTCCTAATTAGTGACTTCCATTGGTTCACTTATAGGCCAACTACAGCCATGCTTCGCTTCAGTCCCTACGCCCAGGCCATTTTTCAGTCAGCCTCAACAAAGAGCTTACTGCTCACTTATGTATCCTATATCATTCTCCACCTACCCTCTCCCCTGGGCTCTGGAATCCTTGATCAAATCAACTTTACCATTGTTCTTGGAAGGGGTGTATCAGGCTACTTCCCTGTGAGCCACTCATCCCCTCCATAGCTTTCCAGACCAAGGTACTCCTTCCTGGCTGCCACTCTTCTATGTGAGTTATTTTCCCCTATTAGAATGTAAGCTGCTTGATAGCAGGGGTTCTGTGTCATAATTTTCTCCCAATGGAGGAAATAGACTAAGCATTTTTTAAGGGCCTACTGTGTGCCAGGCACGTAGGACTGTGAGTACCTAGGAGGTACTGGCTTTTTGAAGGGAGTCTTTCAAGTGGTTTTTTTTTTTTTTTTTTTTTTTTTTTTAGCCACAGAACTGGAGTAGATTTCTTTAAATATTAAAAAAGAAAAAGAAAACACAGGCTATTCCCACTTGAATGAAACAGCAGAGAGAATTCTACCCACATGTTTATTTCCAAATAGAAATAGTAGAAGAAACGATCCAAGAGTTATCAGTGTTACCAGCTGAGCAATGAAACAGCACCAAGGTTGTTAAGACCCAGTGTCATAGTTTGTCCCTGTGGGAAGGACTAATTGCCATGACTGTTCTTTTGGCATTGTGCTCTTGGTGAAAGTACATTGGTGAAAGAAAGTACTTGGTGAGAGAAGGTACATAGGACAGCAATTCATGTTTTTAGATGGTCTAATAAAAAGGATAGGTGCAGGTGGATAGTGTGTTGGTCCTGGAGTCAGGAAGACTGATCTTCCAAAGTTCAAATCTGGTGTCAGACACTTACTAGCTGTGTGACTCAGGGCAAGTCTCTTAACCCTGTTTGTGTCAGTTTCTTCATCTGTAAAATGAGCTGGAGAAGGAAATAGCAAACCACTCCAATATCTTTGCCAAGAAAATCCCAGATGGGGTCACAAAGAGTCAGACACAACTGAAATTACTAAACAACAAATAGGACTTTTAACTGAGTTAAGGAGACAAGAGTTGTACATCCTTGACTTGGTCACAAGTCATTTAGTCTCTCTGAGTCTCACTTTTCCCATCTCTGAAATGGATTATGGTTGCCCTACCTACTTCATAATGGGTATTTTTGAACATAAACTTAGATGTGAAATTGCTTCGCAAAGATTTTTATTTTTTAAAGCAGAATACAAAAGCAAAATACAGAGCCAAGGAATGAAGTCACTAACTTGTTACGGAATCAGGGTTTATTCAGTGAACAAATTATGGAGTTGAGATGCAGAGAATTCTTTGTCATTTCCACTTGATGATAGGATATAGACTCAACATGATGTGAATGGAGCCCCTCCCCGCTTCCTTAGTGCTTCCCAGTTCCTGCTGCCTGCTCTTGGCCTATGACTAGCAGCTACTGTTTTCAGAGCCTACAGATCCCGGAAGACAGTTTGCTGGGAGGTTACTTCCTACAGGTGAGGTTCCTATTGTGGGCCAGTGATTGGACAGACGTGATTGTGCCTGAGAGGTAAGTGTCATCTTCCCCAGGGTGTGAATCTGTTTCATGAGACCTCCCTCAGGGCCTTGTCAGCACAGTGTCCTCAACCTCCCTCTGTGGATGTAATTTTTCTCTTTCCTTGTGTTTAGGGTTTTTGCTACCATGTCAGTTGTCCCTGCTGCTGGGAGCACAGAGCCTGATGGAAGGACCACAAAATTATAGATTTAGAGCTGGAAGAAAACTATAGAATATCTAGTATAATCTCCCCTTCTTTAAGTAACTTACTAAATAGGTAACAAGGGCAGAGCTGGGATTGAATCTAGGCCCTCTGATGACAATTCCAGCATTCTTGCCATTGCACCATGAGGATAGGGCAGATCTTACTCATAAGTTTAGTTAAATCCAGAGGAAGCTGGCAGTTCATAGGCTTCTTGTGCAGATGTCCCCCCTTGATTGGGCCTTGGGCTTTTAGGTAGGGTTTTGCTTTGGAAGACAAGTCAACAATCCTGAGGAATTAGTTTTTTTTTTAAAGTGCTTTGAGGGGTGTAGCAGGGTTGTGGTTCAGCAGGTACTAAAGTGAGAGATAGTTGCTGGGGTGGCCACAAGTCCAGAAGTAACAAAGCAGAGATTGTACACCACAGATGAGTCGTTTTTGGATTTTCCTAGGCTTTGGCTAAAAAGATCTTGCCTACTTGATGAAAGTGGAGAACTGGGAGCTGGTGAACATTGACCTGGGATTCCATGACTTGGGTTGCCAATGTAGGCTTTGGTGCAGTTTGCAAAATTAACTCTGCAAGTGCCATAACAATGCCACATTGCCACTATTGTGGGATAGAAGTACCCTGTGTGTAGTAGGCACTCAAATAGTCATTGAACGATTGACTATCTAAGGTGAGGAGCAGCCTAGCCATTCTTTCAGCACCACGCTAATGATCACTTCATAAACTGGGCCTTCTTTGTCACTTGTTCCCTGGAATCTCTAGGGATTCAAGCCTGTTTTATAGAAGACTCTGTATGGGAGGGGCTGGTGAACGATCCCTGATTGGTGATGGGACATGAAAGGGAGCATGGTTCACATTGAATGCAGAATTCCTCTAGGGTACCAGCTAGAGGGACCACTTGGATCGGAGATGAGGATAGGGTTGCACAAAGTAGGTGACTAAAAATCCCCAAAGTTGGCATTAAAATCACAATGTTGCTGGCTACTACCACCTAGAATGTTAGTGTGCTGTGCTTGGTGTCCGGGGATGTGGTTATTCTGGATTCCCCCCTCATGTATGGGGAAGAGATGGCAAGAAGAGTACGTGTCTTATGTATTGCGAACAGCAACCTCCCAAGGAAGGTTGGTCACAGTGAAGCAGGAGCACCAGCACCTAGGGGAAAAAGAGATCTGAGTCCTGGCTGTTGCTTTTCAGGATCTGGAGGGCAGTTACGGCCTGTTTGGCCACATTGGCATTGCTGTGGTTGCAGAGATTCTCCAATGTGTCTAGGACTTTGGCTTCCTCCATTTGCTTTCTCAAATCACCTAGTGATATTAAAAGAATAGAATATCAATAAAGTGAATTCCTGGTATCCCTTTGGGAGGTGCCTGTGAACTAAGCTCTGGTTCACATCTCCTTTCTGATAGTAAATACTGGTCAGTGCTACCCTTCTTTTAGGGATAATCAATATTATTCTACTCATCAGTTAGAGAAATGCGGCTTTCATCAGATTAACAAATACTTATCATACATCTATGATGTACAGGATGCTTTTTCCAAAGCGCTGAGGTTTTGCCTCTCCCATGAATAGTCTAATGTTCTGAATTGCTTATTATCTACTGAAGGGAATAATGTCACAAGAGAATGTTTGGATTGCTTGTAAACCAAGGCTACCAGAGTTTGCCTAGGTAAGGTTTTTTCCTCCAAACACCTGTTTCTGTTGGACTTTTCCTCCTCACTATACTGCTTTCACTCCTACCTCATATTCTAGTCATCCTGCATTTTTCCCTCTTGCTCCCTCTCTCTGGAATAGTTCATCCCATTAGGCAAAAAAGCTGGATCTCGTCACTGAGCCCTCTCTCTCTCTCTCCCAGCCCCTTAGGTGATTGTTCTTAGTAGCAAAACCGGATGCTATCAAGCAGGATGTGGGAAATAATTTTGACTATTGAGCAGATTATTACAAACGTGGGATCTTTCAGTTTTTTTTCCAAATAGCCTAAAGAGGAATGGAGGACATCTTAGTTTAGTTGGGGTGCAGACAAAGAGCAGAAAGGGAGCTAGATGAGGAAACATAGATCCTCAGGCTAGAGGTTCACTATTTTGTCTTCAGAATTGGAAAAGGGAGCATGTATGGGTCTCTCTAATAGAGGTGTGGGCATTGGTTAGTTTATAGTGAAAGGGTCTCTTGCAACCTAAGGACTGAACAATGAGAGTAGCAAAAACAGAAAGAAGAGAGGAGAGAAAATAGAATAAATAGTGTAAAGGAATAATGGGGCAAGGTTTTTGGTTTCCATTCCATTTTTTTTCCCATTCCACTTTTCTGCTAAGCGCCAGTGAAAAGAATGGGCAGAGGAATGACTTGGAGCCAGAACAGCACTTTCTATCAGGGATGTTTGTCCTACACTCATTTCACAAGTCTAACTGTGGTGCCCTTACCAGGACTGCTAGATAGCTGGAGTCTAGAAATCTGCTTTTTGTTCTTTGTCTAGTCATGGAAAGTCAGGTTATGGGGGTGAGCTGTTTACCTGAACCCAGGAGGCTGCACAAGAGGCCCAGGGACTTGTACTTCACCTCTGGGCTTGTCATTTCATCCTCAAGGAGCTTCTGTAAATTTGGGATCAATTTGGACTCTTTAAATGCATCTTTGATGATTTCTGCAGAGAAAGAGGTGACATGCTGAAAGTTCTCTGTGAAATACTTCTCTATGCTATGGCTCTGGCTGGACGGTCCTGGGCCCTTGGGGACCTAGCCACCTCTAGAGATGTTATGGGAAAGCCTGGAATATAAAGGAAGGCTTCTCCCACTATCCCTTCCTTTCTAGCCTTATAATGGGGTTCTCCTGCAAGTAATAGAAAGCCACTTCATGGAGAAGGTTCCAGGGGATAAACTAATGGAAGCCCCAGAAAACAAGAGACCAGGGGAATTGGATGTCAGAGACCTCTATCTTAGGACTTTGGGACACAGATTGAGAGCTAGAAGGACACTGAGGGCCAGCATGGCACGGCAGAATTGCATGTGATCTAGCATCTGATGATTCGGGTTCAAATCTTGGCTTTGCTACTTACTATCTCTATGACTTTGGACAAGTCACATTAAGTGTTGGGCTTAATGACTTCAGTGACCCCTTCTGGTTCTAAATCTAGACACCTATGAAGTCAGCTCATCTAGTCCCCTCATTTTACAGATAAAGAGCTGGAGCCTGGAGAAGTGAAGAGCTTTGTCCGAGGTGACCTCGGGAGTAAGTGGCACAGGTCTTCTGAATCCAGAACTAGAATGTTCTTTACTTTATATTCTGCCATAATGGAAAGGGATAAAAGGAATCAGGGTCAGACCAAAGCCTAGAGTGATTTTTTCAGAATCATAAATTGTTAGAGATGGAAGAGGATTTAGAATTTACTGACAAAGAAACTGAGGCTCTGTGTCAGAGCCTAGAGACTAGAACCCAGGTCTCCTCCCAGTCTAGGGCTCCTTCCATCACAGCATGGTCAGGTGTAAAACATTTATAGAGTGTGTTAAGATTCACAAAGCACTTTACATGGGTTATCTCATTTGAGCTTTACATCAATCCTGGGAGGTAGGGGCTGCTATTATTCCCATTTTACAGACAAGGGGACTGAGGCTGAGAGAGTTTAAATGACTTGCCCAGAGTCAACCAGCTAATAAGTGTCAGAGGTAGGCTCTGAACTCATATCCACTACACTCCTTGGGAGATGGGCTGAGGGGCAATTGACTGGCTATGTTCTGTTTCCTTTAAGGGAAACTGATGTGAGAGTGCAATCTCAGGTCTGGCTTTGGCAGGACTATGTGGCAGGGGATGGAGAGGAGGGATGCCTAATGGTCCTCTGAAGTCCTTGCTTTGGGCTGTCTAATGTTGCCTTGACTGTCTCAGGTACCAGAGGGCACAAATATTCCTAAAGTAAGCTTGGTATAATATTTGACACATAGTAGGGGCTTAGTAAGTGCTGGTTGAGTATAAAGAGACTAAATAAACTTTGTCTATGCTTCTGAGGAAAAATTCAAAGGCCTTTGAGGATCTATGGATTTTCTGCTGTTCTTGCCTGGGTAGCTGAGTTAATTTCTCATCCTTTCCTGCTTTTTTTTTTTTTTTTAAATTTAAAAACCTCCCTAATGATTGACAGGGCACAGCTGGGATCTGTCAACCCACATGCACATTGATGAGCTACCTAAGTTAATTGCTGAAGCGATGGCCAGTGCTATCAGAGCTTCATTCTGCATGATGGCGTGCTCACTGGTTGTCATGGAAACGAGGTGCTTCACTCCCTGGGCTTCCTGAATGGCCCTAACCACTTCCTGTTGAAGAAAGGACAGAGAGATGTTTGCCTAAGAGTGTGCTGAAATCACAGGTTCCATGGGGGGAGTGGGGTTGGAGCAAATGACAAAGGGAGAGGACCCAATGATTTTAAAAAGTATTTATTGTATGTGCTCTGGACCATAGAATCTCAGGGTTGGAAAGGGGTGCTTGGCATCTGGTTCAGGTTCCTTCCTTATATAGCATCCCTGACAGTGACCAGGTAACCCATGTGGAGTCATTTTATTCTATTGTTGGTTTGAAAGGCTCTCCTAATACCTGATCCCAAACCTGCCTCTATGTAGCATCTACCCACTGGTCCTAGTTCTTAGGATCACGGTAGTCGTAAAGGTAGTTTGAAAGGATCTTAAGAGACCAACAGGGGTGTGGAAATCTTGGCCGCTTAGGTCATGGCCCTTTGAGTCTAAGTTTTGCAGAACAACTCCTTTTATTAAGGTAATTTGTTCTGTGAAGTTTGGATTCGGTCAAAGGGCCACACTTGAGGACCTAGAGGGCCACATGTGGCCTCGAGGCCGTGGGTTCCCCACCCCTACTCTAGGCCAATTCCTTACTTTTTTTAAATATTTGAGAAAATGGAGATCTATCTTGGGAGGTGAAGAGAGGTGCTCAAAGTCACAGACTTTGTGAATGACTGGCAGATCCAGGACTGACTGAACCTAGATCTGACTTGAAATCCCTCTTGTTTCATCCCAGAAGGAGACTTCAACCTTCAATTTAAAGTTATGGATCTGGAGCTGGAAAGAATCTCAGAAACCATCTGGTCCAACTGCCTCCATTTTACAGATAAGAAAACTGAGGCAGACTTTAAATGACATACCCAAGGTCATACAGTAAGTATCAGAGACAGGATTTGAAAACTGGTCTCTGATTCCAAGTCTCACATTCTGTTCACTTTGCCTGTCTGCTAAAATATTTGTGTAATTAAAAAAAAAATTCCCTTCTGTGACCATTGTTAAATGGTGTGGCTGCCACTGAGTACATCACGATGGCAGAGACAGCTTGTCCAGTAGCCTGGGACATGGTCTCACTGATCAGCTGTGGGTTTGAGTGGAGGTGTACCACCTGGTGGTACATCCGATGAGGCTAATCCTTCTACCCGAATTCTTCAGGATTTGAAGGCGGCACTCATTCTCCACACCCCACGTGCCTAACCTTGGATCCCTTTTCTGGAATGGACATGTCAAGGTCATTGGAGGAGATGGTCTTATCACTCTCCAGTGGGCATGTTCTAGATCAGGATTTGTTCTGTAAAACTTGAAGTTTTACAGTGAAAGGGCCACATGTGGCCTCGAGGCTGCAGGTTCCTCACCCCTGTTCTAGATTGTCCATGTAAAATGTAATACCTAGAACTGGACACAACACTCCTAATGTGGCATGGGAACTGTATATACTTCCATTAGCGTGGCCCAGAATGTTCTGTTAGATCAGGGCTTCTTAACCTAAGGTCCAGAGAGTCTGGGTATGCATATTAGGGCTCCATGAATTATTTCTTTAAATATCTGGATAGTTATATTTCAATAAAACAGATTGCATTTGGAATCTGCTATATTTTATTTCATTCCTTAAAAATTCTTCTTATTCCCCTGTTAGATGAGCTCCTTAAGGGCAGGAATTGTCTTTTGCCTCTTTTCATATCCTCAGTGTTTAGCATAGTTCCTGGAACATAGTAGGTGCCTAGTGTTTGTTGACTGAATGACTATTATTCTGAGGAGTCCTTAGGATTCCCCAGAGGTCCATGTCACAAGAATGATTAAAAGCTCCTGGATTAAATGATGATTAGAGAACACTTTAAGGTTTGCTTGCAAAAGGCTTTAAGGCACGCTATCATTTGCTTCTCACAACAACTTTGTGAAGTAGTTATGGCAAATATGATTGTTCCCCTTTGGTAGATGAGAAAAATGAGGCTTAAGGAGGTTAAGTGACTTGCCCATGGTCAAACAGTAATTCTTGGGTATGGGATTTGAAGCCAGGCCTCTTTGTCTCCAAGGCCAGAACTTGATCTACACTATTCTACCAAAGAAATATGGTACCAGAGATACATCTGATTAAACCTCTTCTCCTGTTCCTGCTCTCTTGAAGTACAGGGGCTTCTCAGGGTCTATGGTAAAAACAAAATAAACAAAACAAAAACCAACCTCTGAACTCAAGTGTTTCAAAAGCAGAGTGATTTATATACCCTGGAGTCAATGCACTCTGCAATGAAAGACAGTTGTGGCTTCCTGCCGATAGCATGCTTTAATTAAACAGTTCCCTTGCCCCAGGTATTTCCAGGATGCTTTGCAATAATTAATTATTGACTTGAGCAGACCCAACACTTAACTTTCTTCCAAGTTGTGTCATCAATTCTCAGAAATGTCCCTGAGAGAAAAGGTTGGCATGGAATCTTTGCCATTGTTTTACAGGTGGGGAAAACTGAGGCACAAAATGGCCCCCAGTAAGGAGGTGGTGGATATGTAAATAGAACCCATTTGGTAGACTGGATTGAATGCTAGATTTGGAATCAGGAAAACCTGGGTTTGAATCCTGTCTCTGATACTAGCTGAATGACTCTGGCCAAGTCATTTAGGCTCTCTGGGCCTCAGTTTCTTTATCTGTAAAATAGGGGTCTTAGACTAGATGACTTCTACGATCCCTTCCAGTTCCAAATTTATGATCCTTTGAGTCCATCTCCTCTGCCTCCTAATCCTCAGCTTTATCATTGGCTAACGAGCAAAAACTGTGGTGTGTGTGGTAAGGGGGTGTGGTAAGGATATGGATGTGTATTGAAGAGGAAGGTGAGGTTTGAATAAATCTACAACTAGAAATTTTTTCACCTGAAGCAAAAATAATTTTTGGAGGGTGGGAAGGACAGAGAAGCAGTGTAGCCCTTATCCCTTCAGGGGTTTGGAAAGAAAATGAGCCTAGAAGAGGGGCTCTCCAGCAGTAGGACCCTCAGGGTCATAGCTGCATCAGAAAATTTGCTAGTTGAGGTTTGGGGATGACAGTTACTGAAGACAAAGGCAAAGGAGCTGTTGGGGGAAAGGTGAACTCTCCATCCCAAGTTAGTGGCTTGACCCCATGTTAATTATAGCTAGGATTATAGGCTTAGAGCTAGATGGATTTTAGAGATCTAGTCCAATTTCCTCATTTTGTACATGAAGAGACTTGGAGGATAGGCTGAAGGAATGGGTGAGAACACCAAAATGATTAGACTCAGGAGGAACATGATAGTTTGTTTTCATGTATTGGAGGGCTGTCATCAGAAGGAAGGATTATAGTTCTGATTCTATAGCTGGAAGGAACTCTGGAGCTAGAAGGCCATCTAGTGCAACATCCTTACTTTACAGATGAGGAAACTGAGGCCAGAGAGATCAAGTGACTTGCCCAGAGTCACATAGATAGTGAGTTTCAGAGGCAGGCTTTGAAGCCAGGTCCTATAGGACTACAAAACCAATTCTCTTTCCATGATACCATTCTGGATTAGATTTGTTTGGTCCAAGAGTGAAGACCTAGGAGTCATGATGGGTGGAAATTATAAGAAGGTAAATTTAAACTTGATGCAAGGGTTTGGGGGTGGGTTGAGGGGCCAGGAGGGGGATCTTCCTAACAATTAGAACTTTCTGAAAATGGAATGGGCCAGCCTTGAAAGATAGTGGGTTCCTTCTCATTGGAGATCTTCAAGCAAATGTTGAATGGCCATTTGTTATGTGGCTGGTAGTGGGGATTCTTTTTCCAGGTATGGTTATTGAGGTGACATTCCAAATTTGAAATTCTGTGGCCTGCTCTCCCACATGTCCTCAGGGAAGTGAAAGATCCAGCATCCAACTGGAGCTTGGGCAGAAAGTCTTGAAAACTCCTCAACGGAAGAATAGTTTTTGATTACCTCTCACCCCACCTCCCAATTCTGCCATTTTTCTGGCTGCCTCTCACCTGGGACTTGCTGTGCCTCACCAGGGAAGCTAGCAGGCGGTTGGCTTCTCCTTGGACACCTGCATGCTCCTTGGCCTCACACCACTGCACTAGCCGATTCAGCAGAGCTGTGTCCTGCCCAAGGGTTTCAGCGGCTTCCACTGGCAAAGCAAAGACTATAAGTTGTAGGTGACTCAGGGCACCAAGGATGAACCTGCCAAAAGCCACCCCTGGGGATGTATCCCAGGTGTTTCCATATCTCAGACTACTGGTGTCCTCAAGCTTGGCAGATAGTTTCTACTCATGCTGTATTTCCCTGGGCCCAAAAGAGAGCGCCAGGAGTTGATGCCAAAGCTGTATGTTCCCAGACGTGTTCCTGTTATTAAATGGTGGCCAAAAAACTTGCTTTTTCCTCATTTTGCCCATCTTCCCCCCCTACTTCCCTCTCACTCCCCTCACTCAACCCCACTGCTCATCTGCCAGACTAATGAATTTACACGAGATAATACAATTAACTAATTTTACAGGAACTTGTTAAGAGACACATGTTCTGGGGAAAATGTTAATGTTCCCCTGCCAAGCTAATTAAGGTCAATGGCTGCTCTGAGGCAATTAAAGGTGGGAGGACCATTTGTTTCTTGCCAGGATTTGAGGAGTCCAACTTTGAGATAGATTTGGGTGGCACCCGAGATCTCTACTAAGAAGTGGTTGGTTTTGATATTGACTGGGAATGTTCTAATTGGCTCTTTGAGGGTGATCTTGAGGCAGAGTACTATGCCTTTAGTTTACTATTCCCCTAAGGGGTTGGCTGTCCTTAAGTACTGAAGGTATACCTAATCTCTTGCTGTGGCTATATTAATACCACAAGCCTCTTAGGCTGAGTGATTGTTTTCATGCGTCTGGAGACCTGTGCTTCATTAATGCTTTCATATCCCCATAAACCTTAACAAAAGGGACTGCACAGTGGCCTTCTGGATGTAGAAAATTCCCAGAAAGGATAACCAACCCAGGCTTGGATACTTGACCCATTGGTTTTGTTATCCCTTTTGATGCCTCGTGAGTCTTGGAGTGGAGGGGAGCCGAGACTCCACTCCCCTTCCCTCCTTGTACTAGGTCAGGAGACAGTGGTGCTCAGCTGCTCGCTACCTTGGCCATCCATCAACATTCGAAGTGTTCCCAGGAGTTTAAACTGCACTGGAGGCATCTCAGACCTCAGTAACATCTGGATTCGCTTGGCCACACCTTCTTCCAGCATCTGTACTTTGTTGATCACTGGAAAAGAGAATGGAAGGGAGAGATTGCAATGTACTTCCTTACTGCTTGTCTGTTTCCCTCAGAAATCTCTAAACTGAACTTTCTGATTCCTATAGTTATCCATGGAAGCTCCCTTTGGTCTGCAGGGCTTTAGGCCATATAATGTCTAGGTTGACAACCACCTCCCCAGCACAGCTATGGTGGGGAAAGATAGCGTTTAATCTAAGAAACCCTTATTAAGCCTCTACTATGTGCCAGGCCACCTAGATGGCTCAGTGGATAGAGGAGTGAGCTGTAGTCAGGAAGACCCTAGTTCAGATGTGGCCGCAGACACTCACTAGGCTGTGTGACTCTGGGCAAGTCACTTAACCTCTGTTTGCTTTCATCCACTGGAGAAGGAAATGGCAAACTACTCCAGTATCCTTGCCAAGAAAACCATGTATACGGTCATGAAGAGACAAGACTAAAAAAATGATTAAACAACAACAAAGTGCCAGGTGTCTTGGCATAGTGGAGAGAAAGCTGGGTTGAAGGTCAGAAAGACCTGGATTTCAAGTCCCAAATAAGACACATTTTGACTATGATTCTGGGCAACTTACTTCTCAATGCCCCACGGAAGTCTCTGAGATTATAAGGAGCTCTCTTCACTGATAGAATCACAGGTTAAAAAAAGGTGCTAAGCTAGGTACTAGACTAGAACAAAAAAAAATCAGTCCCTGCCCTTAAAGAACTTATATTCCACAGGAAGAAAACAACATATGCACAGATGCATATATATATATATATATATATATATATATATATACACACACACACACACACATACATATTCCTATTTTGTTGTTTAGTCATTTCAGTCACATCTGGCTCTTCATGACCCCATTTGGGGTTATCTTGGCAAAGATACTGGAGGGGTTTGCCATTTCCTTCTCCAGCTCATTTTACAGATGAGGAAACTGAGGCAAACAGGGTTAAGTGATTTGTCCAGGGTCATAGAACTACTAAGTCTCTGAAGCTGCCTTTGAACTCAGGTCTTCTTGACTCCGGGTCCAGTGCTGTATTCACTGCATCACCTAGCAGCCCTACATATACATATACACATATAAAAGCATTTTGGCATTGGAAAGAACACCAAAAACTAGAAGGATCTAGAAAGGTCTCATAAGGGAGGATAGCACTTGGGCCTTAAAAAGAGCTTGGGTTTCCAAGAAGCTGTAGTGAGAAGGGAAAGCATCTTGGGCTTAGGGGACAGCTTGCAGAGTGCTTTACATATATTAACTCATTTGATCCTCATAACAACTGTTTGAGGTGGAGGCTATTATTATCAGCCTCATTTTATGGATGAGGAAACTGAGGCACACAATGGCCTTGCCATACATCTGGTAAGTATTTGAGGGAGGATTTGAACTCGGGTCTTCTTGATGCCAAATCTTTCGCCCTATCTATTGTGTCACCCAGCTGCCAAGGTACTCAGAATGTTGGGATTCAGATGAGGAAACTGAGACATCAAGAAAGGTGTAGAGAGTTGGCCAAGGTCACACAGAAAGTCAGTGGCAGGGATGGGGAGCTGTGAAAGTGTTCTCTGTGCGTCAGCATTGTGAATTCTCTGAGCAAAAGGCCTATCTTCCAGCTCTCCCCACAGCCCCCTAATGCTCAGTATAGGGCAAAGCACATGCAGTGAATGAGGCTGCTGGCCGCCTCTGGGGAGAGAGCTCTTTCTGGTCCCATTTTTAGAACCCCTATTGTCTGAGGCCCAGGTGTTTCCTTCCTGGCTGCCCCTGGTTTTGTCTTAGCCCCTGTTCTTTTCCTGGGGAATCGGCATTAAATATAATTTCTCTCCCAGTGCTCCTAAGATCCCGTGGCTGACTGAGGAGCGGAGACCAACTACTAATGATATTGTTTGCTATATTCTTTGGTCCTTGGGGACCACAGCTGGAACCTGGTTCCCCCCACTGCAGCCCTGCATCCCTAGGTGACTGCCCTGGAACTGCTCACTGGCCTTTTGATCAATTAAAAGCCCTTCTTGTGGGCCTGTCAGCCTGCAAATGTATCTAATTGATTTAATTTTATTCTCAGCTCAACTCTCAGTGTTGAGCTTTTATCTCTTCCCCTTTGAAAGTGGGGTGGGGGTGTGGGGAAGGCAGTACAGATTCAAAGTCTAGGGCTGAATCCGGGGCTCAGCAGGGGCTCTCCTGCTGATACTTTTTCTGGTTTTGATGTTTGCTGTTGAGGTGAAACCCAGAAAGGCACCCCAGTCTTGGGGGGTGGTGTGGAATAGTTTTCCTCTCCTTCCCTCCTTCCCTCTCTTCTAAGTGACTCACAGTTGTTGTGTTGGTCTGCTTCTTTTTTGAAATTTCCAGGTCCTGTAATTTTGTGTGTGTGTGTGTTTCTGGACATCCTGTGGAAATGGAGAGATTTCTGTTCCCCTCCCTTCCTTTCCCTCTGCCCCTCTGCTGGCTGTTTTTCTGTGTTCTGCCTGTGAGTGTTAGGGTAGGGGTTGGGGTGGGAGGAAGGAATGGGCGGAACACAGAAACCTTTCTCTCGGTCCACGGCATCTCAGCTGTTTTCTGAACCCAGGATCCTCTCTGCCTACCCATGGCCCTCTAGAGGCCTGTGTGTGGCCATTTGCCACGTACTCATTCAGAGCATCTGCCCAATATTATTACTGCCAGGCATTCTCCCCACCTCCATCTCCACCTCCTACACTCACTCATTTTGGTCCATCGTGCATACCACTGCCATTTTATTTTCCCCTGTGCACACCTGATCATGTCTCTCCATGGCTCCAAGGCCTTCAAAGGCTTCCTGCTGCCTACTGAATGAAGTTCAAACTCCTGACATTCAGGATACTCAGTGTTCTCTGCCAGCTGGTGCCTCTCATGTTCTCCATGCTTGAGCACTTGCTTCCCTGGGCACACTCCTGACATTTCCCATCCTCCTTGCCTTTGCTCATGCTGTTTGCTCTGTTTCCACCCTCATGTCAGCCTCCTGAAATCCTTACTTTCATCAAAGGCCCAGTTGTTGCTTCCTCTGGGAAAACTTTCACTATCTACCCATTCCTGCTTCAGAATGCACAGCATTACTATTTAGACTCCTTTTGAATTATAGCTATATATGTATGTCATATACTCGCTTTTAGATTGTAAACTTTGTGAGGGCAAGGACAATGTCTTCCCTAAAATTTGTACCTCTCCCAGTTGCTAGCCCAGTGCCTCTTACTGAGGACACTGACACCCAGGGAGACAAAATATCTCATCCTAGGTCACACTGGGAATGTCAGAGAAAGGATTTGATCTCAGATTTCCTGATTTCAGGTCCCATAACCCGTTCTTTCTCCACCCAAAACAATAGATCTCTTGACTTCCAAAGGGAATGCGGAGAGTAAGGATCCCAGTCTCATTATACCACCTGCCTTACACAGTAGGCAGATATTAAGTGTTGGTTGAAATTTAAACTGTTGAAATTGGAGAGCTTTCAGTGGTAGGAGAGAGAGATCCATAAGAGCTCAGAACCTTTGTTCTGTAACTCAGGGCAAGGGACTCCCCTCCACCTCCAGCCAACAGAGGCAGGCAGCCCTGGACCACTAGGAGTCAGGAAGCCTGGGTTCTAGTGCTGGGCCCGCTCTGTAATGGGGAAGTCACAATCTCTTTGGATGCAGCCTGTTTCTTTCTCATCTCTTAACAGAGACAATCACAGCTGTCCAAACCAGCCCATATGCCTGCAGCGAGGACCTCAAGAGACAGTGGGTGGGGAATCACTGTGGAAACATTTAAAGAACAGTATGCACAAATGAGTTGGCTACTGTTTTTGGGTAGCCTATTAATGTAGAAGGATAGTTCCAGGACTCTATCCATTAGGATGATATTTGTAAAGTACTTAGCATGGGGCCTGGTACATAGTGGGCACTTCATTGATGCTTGTTTACTGCCCTCCTTACCTCTATCACCTGGGGAGGGGGAGCTTGGCTTACAGGTTAGACTAGAGCCCTGGGCTGGGAGTGCAAAACAACTTGATCCTAATACTGCCTTACATACTTATGGGCTTTGAGATCCTGGGCAAGTCGCTCAAACTCTCAGTCTTAGTTTTCTAATCCCTTAAAATAGGGATAATATTTGTCCTCCCTACCTCACAGGGATATTAGGAGGAGAGTGCTATGCAAATCTTAAATGACTATTAACAGTATAGGTGTAGGGTTTATAACTGAGGCATTTGAGGTATAAAACTACAGTTATCCCTTCCACATTGCACCTTTCCCCATCTCAGTTTTGAGACATCCAGGTTGGCATAAGAAATTAAATGGGAATGTTTTGGGAGTTTTGCAGAAGCAGCAGACAACAGTCAAAGGCCTGTTACCAAATACTCAACCCAAATTTCACAATAAGGTATTGTAAACACTCCATAAAAGAAAAAGAAAAAAAATCAGATTTCTTCTCTAGTATGAAGGACCAAAAAATTTTACATGGATATTCCAGATCACAGGGGTGCCACATCCCTAACCCCCATGATATGGAAGGGATAACTGTAAATGCATAATTGCAGATGCATTCAAAGAGCTGAAGAGTCTTTAAAGTCCAGACCCTTTATCTGATAGGGAAACTGAGGCAAGAAGCTGAAGGGGGCTCTGAAGGAGAGAGGTTTGTGTCTAAAGGGTCCAGAATCTGGCCAAGATTTGGATATCCACCAGTTTATCTATGTCCTCGCTAATAAATGGTGTCTGGAATTGAACACCATAGTTTAGATGTGGTCTGACCTAGGGAGATTCCAGCAAGACCATCACCTCCTGGTTCCTGGAGGCTGCACCTCCCCTTAGGCAACACAAGATTGCATTAACTTTCTTTTTTTTTAAATTTTTTAAGGTTATTTTTAGGCAATTGGGGTTAAGTGACTTGCCCAGGGTCACACAGCGTGTCAAGTGTTTGCTCTGAGGCAGAATTTGAACTCAGGTCCTTCTGACTTCAGGACCAGTGCTCTATCTACTGCACCACCTAACCGCCCCTTGCATTAGCTTTCTTAGCTGTCATGTCACACTCTCATATCTCCTCATGGGGAGTGGGGGGGGGGGCTACCTTCTCTGCCTAAACATCAGGCTGGTCCAGCAGCAGGTGGTATAATGAGACTGGGATCCTTACTCTCCGCATTCCCTTTGGAAGTCAAGAGATCTATTGTTTTGGGTGGAGAAAGAACGGGTTATGGGACCTGAAATCAGGAAATCTGAGATCAAATCCTTTCTCTGACATTCCCAGTGTGACCTAGGATGAGATATTTTGTCTCCCTGGGTGTCAGTGTCCTCATCTGTAAAATGGGGGTAGATAGTTCCCAAGGTGCCTGCAGGTTCTGGATCTATAGTTTTAGATCAAGTAGTTGCCTCCATGAAGCTTGGCCTCCATGAAGCTTGGCCTCCTTGCCATCATCTCCCTAAGGAGCATATATCTTTGAAGCCAGAAAAAAAAAGATTTAATTTTTACCATTTTGCCAATAACTCCCCATCACGCCTCCCCCTTTTTGCCAAAGCACTTAATGTGTGAGGTATGACGTACACCCTTGAGAAGGAAGGAGGAAGGACAGGGGAGTGAGGGAGACAAAGAAAGGAAAGTAAAAGACACTAAGAAGCCTCAAAATTCTTCCATTAGAGATTCATTCCTTTGGGTTAAATATAATTACTCCTGGGGAGAGTAACATACTAAAGTTTTATCAGCTTTTAGCTCTGAAGTATTACAAGGCTGAAATAAACTCTGATGATGATGATGATGGTGGTGATGTTACTGTTACAACACTTTCATGTGGATAGGACCAGGACTTAAGAACTAGAAAGACCTATGATGAAGTCCTGCCTCATACATTAATTAGTTGTATGACCCTGGACAATTCAATTTACCTCTCCTATCCTCAGTTTCCTCGTCTGTAAAATGGGGGTAAATAATAGCATCATCTTCACAGAATTGTTTTAAGGATCAAACAAGATGAACATTTGTGAAGTAATTTGCAAATCTTAGAGCCCTATGTAAATGCTAGATATTATTATCACATTTGATTCTCATAACATCCCTAGGAAGGAGGTGTTTTACAGTAATTTTATTCTGATTTGCAATCCTGACTCCCAGTCTACTGGTCTTTGACTGTTCCGTGGTGTGTAGGTGTATGTCTGTGAGTTTTATCTCTAATGGCTCCAGCGTAAGAAAGCACTGAGGAATGGGGAAGGGTCCCTACCAGGGATGGCGAGGTTACGGAGGGCACTGAGGGCTGCGTGCTGTACTGTCACATCACCATTGTCCACATGCTTTTCCAGGACATCCAGGAGCTGATGTACCACACCTAGTTGTACCATCTTCACACAGTTGCTGTCTGCAAGGGGAAAGGAGATAACATGAGTCAGTCAATCCATAAACATTTATGGAGAAGTAGGAAAATTGGAACACTAATGCATTGTTGGTGGAGTTGTGAAATGATCCAACCATTTTGGAGAGCAATTTGGAACTATGCCCAAAGGCCTATAAAAATGTACATACCCTTTGACCCAGCAATAGCACTGCTAGGGCTGTATCCCAAAGAGATCATACAAATGGGAAAAGGACCCACATGTACAACAATATTTGTAGCAGCTCTTTCTTTGGTGGCAAAGAATTGGACATTGAAGGGATGTCCATCTATTGGGGAATGGCTGAACAGGTTGTGGTATATGAATGTAATGGAATACTATTGTGCTCTAAGAAATGATGAGCAGGTGGACTTCAGAAAAACCTAGAAAAATTTATATGGACTGATGCTGAGTGAGGTGAGCAGAACCAGGAGAACATTGTACACAGTAACAGCTATATTATGTGATGACTGACTTTGATAGACTTAGCCCTTCTCAGCAATGTAAGGATCTAAGACATCTCCAAAAGTCTCATGATGAAAAATGCTATCCACATCCAGAGAAAGAACTATGGAGTTGGAATGCAGATTGAAGCATACTATTTGCTATTTTTTTCTTCTATTTTGTTTTGTTTTCTCTTTCTTGTGGTTCCTCCTATTGGATTTAATTCTTCCTTACAACATCATTTAAACAAAATATGTTTAATAGGAATGTATATGTGTAGCCTATATCAGATTGTGTGCTGTCTTGGGGAGAGAGGCGGGAAGTGAGGGGGAGAAAATTTAAAACTCAAAAGCTTATAGAAGTGATTGTTGAAAACTAAAAATAAATAAATTAATTAAAAAATCAACATACATTTATTAAGGATCTATTAAGGGCCAGGCACTATGCCACAGGCTTGAGATACAAAAAGAGGCAAAAGACAGTGCTTGTCCTCAAGGAACTCCCGATCTAATGAGGGAGACAATAAGCAAACACATATGTTACAAGTTATATACAGGATAGGTAAAAAATTATTAAAAGAGGGCAGGCACTAGAATTAAGAGGGCTTGGGAAATGTTTCCTTGTAGAAGATAATGATGATTTACCTCCTTTTCTTCTTCCCTGTCAGATGCAATGGTCTAATTCAACAAATATTTATTAACTTCTCTCTTCTCCTAGACACAACATGCAGTGCTAAGTGCTGGGAGAGATATGAAAAATGGATAAAACATCTCTACCCTCATGAAGCTTGTAATTTAGTAAGGGGATATTGTCAGAGTCCTATAACAAGGAACCAAGGTCCTTTTACCTTGGGCATACTCCATTCTCCTCTTAGGGATGCCAGGATTTTCTTCAGGGAGCATAGTTCTCCACTTACTTCCTGTTTTCTTACCTCAATAATTATGTTATAACTATATCATCATATCCTATCTTTCACCCCCACCCCCTACTTACCTTGGGCTTTAGTTTCTCACCTGTATACTGGGAAGATTGAGTCAGATTTCTAAGGTCTCTCTCAGCTCTGTCATCTTTTACTCCTTACTCTGAGACAGGTACCAAATAATTATTCCTAAAGTGCAGGTCTGCCATGTCACTTTTCTGCTTAAGCGGCATCGCTGGCTAACTATTGCCTCTAGGATCAAATATGAGTTCCCTGTTTGGCATTTGGTTCAGTGGCATTCTGGGCCCTAGAAACTTATTAACTGTGTGACCCTGGGCAAGTTACTTAACCTCTATCCATCTCAGTTGCCTTTAAACAGGTTCTGCCCCATACCTGGGATCCTCTTCCTTCTCACCTCTGCCTCTTGCAAATCCTAGTTTACTCCAAAGCTTAATTCAAGGGCCATCTCCTTCAAGAAGCCATTGGTACTCTGCCCCAATCACTACTTACTTTTAAAAATATATCTTATGTATACTAACCTGTGAACATATGTCCTTCTAATAGAGCGTATGATCCATGAGAGCAGGGTTTATCTCACTTTTGTATCTGTATTCCTAGTGACTGGCACAGTTCCAGATACTTAGTAGGCCCTCAATAAATGTTTATGAGCTTATGATCTCTTTTCCTTGGAGTCCACAGGTCAGGAGTCTTTGGGCAGCCTTACCATTCCTGGCAAAGTTGGCAACAGCCAGGGCACCCATCAGTTGCATCTGGGTGTTCGGAGACATAAGCCAGCTGCTGATGCTCTGGTAGACGAGGCCAGTTCCACTAGCAAACAGTTTCTGCATAGACTCATCTGTAAAGGGAAGGGATGACAGAAAGAAAGAGAGGTAGGAGTTGTAGCCAGTAGTGCCTGCTCACAGGCTGGAAGGTCACAGAGTTGGGGAAGGCCTTGGGCTCATGGTCTAAATTCCCAGTCTGAGAGAGGAGTGTTGAGGTGAGGAGTCTCAGGGTTTATTTCAAGAGATAGGCCTTCTTTTCCTTGACCGTCACTGTACCCATAAACTGCCTACTGGCATCTTAAATTCCTATCTACTTGCTTTCTTTTTAAAAAAATCCATCCATTCATTTATATTAAATGATATATTACAAACTTACTATTGAACATTAAAACAATTCCTCTATAACTATTTCTATGTAAACTGATAATAATTTCAATGAATAAAATATCACAACAATTTTTCAAATATTGCCTCTATACTAATTTATCAGGATTCTTAGTTTGTCTACTGCTTCTTACTGACTTGTTAAATTTTTTTAAAATTTAATTTAATTTTCAGTTCCATATTTTCTTCCTTACCTTTCTGTCTCCCTCAATACATTGAGAGGGCAAGCAGAACAACGCTCATTGCAATATATACAGTCCTACAAAACAAATTCCCATTGCTTCCTCTCATGTAACAACCCTGAGGAAAGTTATCAATACTACATTGTGGACCTAATAAAATATCTTAATTCTCTCTTAAGGATTCCTTTACCTTAGATAAGGTAAAAATCTGTGAACAAAGAGACTGAGCCTGTGGGACTTTTGATATTTATAAAGTCTTTTGAAAAGGAGGTGAACCTGATGGTGGAAATCAACTCTAATTGGTTAACAAGTAATGAAAGAATGAATATTATAACTAGACGTGGGCTTATTCCAATGAGTGTCTTAGGGTACATAACATTGAGTGGCCAGTCTTGGTCAAAGAGACTTAATATCCAAAACACCCATCTGACAAAAGGGAGAATCCACATTTTCCCAGACCTGTCAGTAAAAACAATGAGCAGGAATCCACCCATTCCCCTAAACTTAGAATTTCTTTACACTCTTTGATTAGATCTTAGCCTTCCTGGCTGGGTAAGTCTTGCCCGAGATTCCCACAGTGGTTGATTTCTGGATGAAGAAGTGGAAAGCTCTTTAGTTCTAATTCAATAATTGGTTATTGATATATGAAAAATAACAATTTATCTCAAAGGCAGTAAAGAAATAGCAAAAGTGGAAGAGCCATTGTGTTGAGTGAAGTGAGACAATGAATTTGATGTAGTTAAGAAATCAGCATCTTCCCTCCCAGGATGAAGGGAACTGGAATGAAAGCCTCCCAGTGAGGGCATAGGTGTGGAATATTGGGGACTGTGGGCAAGGGCTATCACAGAGTCAGAATCTCAGAGCTGAAAGGGTTTTTGGGGTCATTTAGTCTACTCTTCTCCAATCTCCCCATTTTAAGTCGACAAAGCCTAAACTCAGAGACATAAAGAGACTTGCCCAAGGTCACCTAGTAAATCAATGGATGCAGTCAGGACTCTTAACCCCCATGGCTTCTTCCATCACACTACATCAGACTTATCCTCATTTTCCCCTGGCTAGGAAAAAATTAGGGCTCGAGTTGGGGTTAGAGCTATCAAAGGTTTCCTTTGGTAAAACTATGAAATCGTGGAAGTTTTTGTTCCATTCCTCCCCCTTCACCTTTCTTGGAATCCTCCCAGACCCCAGTCTCCTCTGTTAGGGAAGTAAGGGATTTAATAAGTTTGTTCACATTGAACTATAAGGACTTAATTTTTTTTTTGAGAGGGAGAGGGAGCCTGGAGAAGGGCATGGCCATGGAGAATAAATCTCATGCTTCACCCTGAGTAGGAAGACAACGGGAGGGGGGAAGTGGAGGTCTTTTGGAAGTTGTCCCTGCCTAAAGCAGCTGTCTTGGGTCAAATTTAAGAAGAGTCTGGCCATGGGAACCTTATGTGCACCGTTGTGTTTGAATGTGTATAGAGGAAGAAATAATCTGCAGATCCCCAAGAGTGGAATCTGACCCAGAAACAGAGCAGAGTTTACAAAGTGACATGTGTGCTATCAGCAGGTGGCTTCTCCCAACACCCTGGCTGGGAGTGGGGAGGGTGTGGTGTGGAACTCTGGGCTCCTATGCCTTCTGCAGGCCTGCACCTGTCCCCATCCATTACCTCCCAGTAGCAGAGAGATGACAAGGTCTGCGATGGTCTTCAGGATGCCTGTAGCATCAACTTCTGGGCTGTCCTGGACCCTCTGCAGGATCTCCACGAGGACACTCTGAACATCTGCTTCCACCAGTTGTACTTTCAGTGAATCTGTAGAGGTCATACAAGGTTTTATTTGGTGGGGTGGGGAAGGGGGGAAGGGGAGAGAGTAGAGGATGGAGGAAAACGATAAAATTGGGAGGATTCAGGCATCCAGAGGGCTTTTTGGCTGGCTAGCAGATAATGGAGATAATTGGGAACAAAGCCAGTGAAGTATCAGAGGATTGGTTGCCCAAGAGATTTCTGTGAACTCCTTTCTTGGGATGAATCCTCATCCTTCAAAGTCTGGTCTCACTTCTTTCTTTCCTCATAGAAGTATTGCCTTAAAATCTAGTACGCTTACATAACTTGACTCAGGGGTGGGGAATCTGTGGCCTTGAGGCCACATGTGGCTCTCTAGGTCTTCAAGCGCAGCCCTTTGACTGAATCCAAACTGGGGCCTGTGAACTTCAAAAAAAATTTTTTGATAACTGTATTTTGATATATTTGGTTTTCTATTTAATCTTATGTATTTTATTTTATTAATTTAAAAACATTATTCTGGGAAGGGGTCCATAGGTTTTTCTAGACTGCTAATTACATCCATGACCCAAGACAGGTTAAGGAACCCTCCTCTAAGATAATACAAAGTTCAACATGAAAGAAATAGGAACATATGAGTTGTGGGCTAAATTTAGGCAATTGCTTGAGCAGAGCATTTTTTTGTGTGTGTCTTAAATATATAACAGTATCTTAACCTTTCATCAGTACTCCTCTTTCATGGGGAATACCATTCCATTGACCTTGGAAACATTTACATTCCTGGGGTCCATAGCCCTTCTTCAGTAGAGGCAGTCATGGCCATATGTGGGTACTCTGGGCCTCACCATTCTCTGCCAGCAGCTGTAGGATCTCAGTGATGATCTCCAGTCTCTCCTGGTTCTCAGCCCTCCTTAGCTGCCTCACCAGCTCCTCTGCCACATTGGTCTTGCTGAGGGCCTCCTTAGCTGTATCTGGGGAGAGGAAATTGAGAGGTCCTGTACCTAGTGGGCGCATTTGCAATGAGCCATGGATACGAAACACATCTCGATAATGCTACTACGTTAGAACATCAGAACTGGTCTCCTGAGTCAGCTCCATGATTCTTCCAGCCCTGAAGTTTATTTCTGAAGAACATCTTATGATATATTCCGGAGGGCTAACTAGGGTTAGGCAATGTGGGGAGCTGCTTAGAGCATAATACAGGGTTGTGTAACAAATGACGGCAGGATTTATCTTATTTTTGTTTATGTCTTTTGTTTTGATGTAACATTTATTTCCAAATATATCTCTCCTGTTCCCACTCAGAGAGCCATACTACCAAAGGACACTTCAAATATTATGTTTATTCATGAGAGAGGCAATTGGCATGATAGTAGACAGCTGGCCTTAAAGCCAGGAAGATTTGGGGTCTAATCCTGCCTCTGACACATCCTGGCTGTGTAACTGTAGAAAAGTTACTTAATCTCTCAGTGTTCTAGTAAGCTCTATAACAACAACAGCAACAGTAACTAGCATTAACATAGCACTTTAAGGTTTGCAGAGTGCTTTATAAACATTACCTCAGTTTATCCTTACAACAACCCAGGGAGGCTAGTGCTATTACTGTCATCCTCATTTTACAGAGGAAACAGGGGCAGACAGAGATTATAGTTATCCCTTCCACATTGTGGGGGTTAGGGGTGTGGTGCCCCCATGATCTGGAAAAACCATGTAAAATTGCTTTGTACTAGAGAAGAAGTCTGAATTATTGTGGTATTAAAAGATAAAATATATTGATATTATGCAATATTGTACACGTATTTTATATATTTTAGAGTTTCTAAACTTTTTCTGTGTCATTTTCTGGCCTTTGTGTATCACCTGTGGCTTCTGTGAAACTTCCCCAAAATTCCCATTTAATTTCTTGTGCCAGCCCTCCATATATTGAAACCATGATGCAGAAAGTAGTGATGCAGAAGGGATAACTGTAAATGAGTTGCCCAAGGTTACACAGAGTTAGCAAGTATCTGAAGCTAGATTTGAACTTCTCTTCCTGATTCCATGTCCAATCCTCTATCCATGGCTCTATCTCTAAGACTATAGCGTATAGCTTCAATGGATAGCCTTTAAGACTACAAGTTGCAGAGAAGGTGCAAACCTGCATTGATAAAATCAGTTTTTTCACTTGGAAGTTCCCTATATCATGAAATCACAGGGACATTCCCCATTCCTTATAATGCACAAAATTTTAGTACCAGAAGAATCCCACATATTCCAGATATTTGTTTTACAATAAACTAACGAGCATGTATTACAAAGGAAGTTAGATTCTACCAATAGTCAATATCCCTGAAGGTGAAGAATTTTTATATCAATTTGTTGTTTTGCTTGGTGCCCGCCCAAGGAGCAAGGGAGCTTTGTAGCCAATCTGGGCAACCATTCCATTGCATTTCAAGCATTTTCATGTTCAAATCCTAATACTCCTTTGATCACAATCTGTTGTCATTCTACTATCTTTGTCTCACATCTCCTCATGTTCTTTGTTCTCACTATGATTTAATCCTCAACCTCTTAGTTCTCTCCCAGGTCATTACCCTTTACAATGGCTACATTCTCTTTTCCCCATCTTGATTTCTTGGTGAACCAATTCAATTCTTCGCTGTCTTCTTCTCTCAAGTACCTTGACGTCCCCTTATCCTATCTTGTCCCACCAAGCCTTGGCCTTGGATTCCCTTCACTGCCTTTGCTCCTGCTAGTGCTGTTGAACAAAGCTGAAGAAAATCATGAAACTGAGCTGAGTGGATCCATTACAAATTTATGTTACATAATTTCAAATGGGCCCTCACTGTGGCAAGGCAGTCCTTTTACAGCTCTCTAATCAATTCAGTATCTCACTTACCGTAGCATCTTTTTCAAACCTTTTCATTCCTCTTCAAGTCTCCCATGGTTGCCCCTTCTCCCTACCCTAAATGCTCAGAACTTTGCTTATATTTTACTGGAAAAAAAAATGAGGCCATTCTCTGGTAACTTTCTCTTCTCCCCCCTCATCTCACACTACTCAGTTGCTTTCTGTAACTATCTCCTCTTTCACCCATTTCGCACGAAGAGGGGGCCCTTCTTTTTCCAAGGCATACTCTTTTATATGCATAAATGATGACATTTCATCTCATCTTCTCCAGCAGATTGCACTATTATCCCCACTTCCTTCGTTAATCCTGCTTCTCTGTTTCTTTGCTTCTCTACTGCCTTCAAATGCATTCATCTTTCTTCCATTCTCAAAAAACCCTCCTTTGATTCATTCACAACAGTCAGCTATTGTCTTATATCTTTCCACCCTTCCATGGCTAATCTCCCTGGGAAAGTCATTTAAAATTGATGTGTCCACTTCCTTTCCTCTCACCGTCTTCTTAAGCCTCTGGAGTCTGGTTTCCAACTTCATCATTCAACTGAAACCCCTGTCTCCAAAGTTACCAATGATCTCTTAACTGCAAAATCTAATGGCCTTTTCTCAGTCATCATCCTTCTTGACCTTTCTGGAGCCTTAGACAATGTCAGTCACTCTCTTATTGATTCTTCACTCTAGGTTTTGGTGATGCTACTCTCTACTGGTTCTCCTCCTACCTATCTGACTGTTCCTTCTCAGTCTCCTTTGGTGGATCTTCATCCAGATTATGCCTACTAATCATGCCTATCCTTAAAGATCTGTTCTCGACCCTTTTCTTTTTTTTCTCTGTACTATTTTGCATAATGATCTCATCAACTCCCACGGATTCAATTATCATCTCTCTATATATATGATTCTCAATTTGTCCAGCCCTAATCTCTCTCCTGACCCATCTCCAATTGCCTAGACATCATCAATTGGATCCCTTTAGACATCTTATCTTATCTTTTTTTTTTTTTTGGCTTTTTTGGTGAGGCAATCGGAGTTAAGTGACTTGCCCAGGGTTACACAGTTAGTAAGTGTCATGTGTCTGAGCCTGGATTTGAACTCATGTTCTCTTGACTCCAAGGCCAGAGCTCTATCCACCATGCCACCTAGCTGCCCCTCCTTTAGACATCTTAAACCCACTTGTTCAAAATTGAACTCATTATCTTTCTCCCTCAAACCCTCCCTTCTTCCCACCTTCTTTATTATTGTTAAGGGTACCACTATTTTCCTAATCACTCAGATTTGCAATTTAGTTGTCATCCTGGACAATATTATCTCCCTATTCAATAAATCTCAGTGGTTCCTTATTGCTTCCAGGATCAAAATATAGAATCCTGTTTAGGAAAGAGGGATAGTGGCTGGTTCTACCCTAGAGTGGGAAGAACCCCACACCTTACCCAAATCTGCCAAATTACACAGGGCCAACAGGTCCACCCGCACAAGTGGTTCACTTTCTGGGAAGTCAGATAGGATCTTGACCAGCAAAGATATCACTCCAGCCTCGACTAGTTCCTCCTGAAGTTCCTCTGGAAGACACAATTATAAAATAAAGATTTGTAAAAAAAAATTATTCATATTTGGAGCAGAAATTCATATTCTGCCACAACTCCCATCTTCCTTTCCCTTAAGGCTCTGCAGACAGTTGACCATTAAGTATTTACTAAGCACTTATTATGTTCTAGGCATTGTTCTAGGTGCTAGAGATAAAACTACAAAGAATTAAACAATCCCTGGTCTCAAGGAGCACACGTGCATATTACCTATGAACTCCATAGTTGACTTACAACCACCATAGACTGACTATATATACCCCAACAGTCTGTTTATAGTGATTCTATGGGAATTCTCATAGTAATAGCCTTTGACCTGCAAAAATATTCCTCTGTTTTGGATTTCTGGGAATTAAGGAACTCACTGAAGTGGCCTCGGTAGTGTTATTGGGATAGACTCAGTGTCATCAGGAGTCTTGTTTTGACCAAGTAGGAAAACAAATTTCCCTGTTCCTTAAAATGAACCTAGCTCTGTTCCTGTTCACATCTGATACTTTTCCAGGAAAGGTAAAGGAGGATGAGATGGGGATAGGCGAAGATAATAAAGGCATCCTCTAGTCTAGGTTGCTTGTTTGGTTTCCTCAGGAACCAATCTTCAAAACATCAAGGGTTATGGCTTTTGTACATAGGGTGGGCCACTTAGCACATCCTAGTGCTAATTAATCAATAGGTATCGGTGACTATGTGCCAGACTCCATACTAAGCACTGGGGATGCAAAGACAAAAGCAAAACAGTCCCTGTCCTCAGTGAGCTTATATTCTAATTGGGGAAGACAGCATATCTATATAGTTGCATATAAGACATACACAAATCAAATACAAAATAACATTGGGGTGAAGGTACTAAAAACTGGTAGTGGGGGTGGGGAGATGGACCAAGAAAGGTCTCATGCAAAGTGGCGTCCTTGAGCTGATTCTAATGTCTGTAAAATGTCATCATGGAGGGTCATTCATGTGAATCTTTGAGAAGAAAGAGACATGATACTCAAATGAGGAGGATTAGGAAAAATAAGAATCAAACAGCAGTATCCGCACCTAGTATATTTTAAGGACTCAGATCAAAACTTTAGAAGACATGCTGTTGAGTATTAACTAGTTGAGAATTTAAGGTTAGCTTCTAATCTGTGGACCAACTATGACAAGCAGAGGCAACTCTGCAGATTGTGTATTGATTTAATGAATTCATCCCTAGGATGAATGATTCTTTTCTGAATTGATCATGTCAGAGGTGCTCACAGTGGAGAAAGTGTGGCTATTTAGAGTGATAGAATCTTAGAGGCCATAGGGATCTTGAAAACTTGTTGATTTGAGAGTGGTGAGAGCTGTAGTATTTGACTTGGAGAAGTGAAGACTTGGTGTGGGAAGTGATGGTAGGTTTGAAATATGGAATAGTGGATGACTTAAGTCTTTAAAAGGCTGTTAAACATGGAAGAAAAATTCGATTTGTTCTGGTTGGCCCCAGAGAAGAACTAGGAATAAGAGGAAAATTTTAGGCTCAATGCACAAGGAGAAAAGTGCTAAAAAGAATGATCCCAAAGTGCTGCTTTGGGAGGTGGTGGGCTCCTGAGCTCTTCAAGTAAAGGCGGGATGCCCATTTGTCAGGGATGCTAGAGAAAGAGTTCTTGTATCTAGTTCTTTACCAATACAAGAACTGTTATATTCTTGTACATATGGATCTTTTTCTTATTTCTTTGATCTTTGGTGGGGGGGGCAGTTGAGGGAGTAGTACAGGCTTAGTATCAGTATTGCTAGGTCAAAGGGTATGCATAGTATATTAACTTTTGGTGCCTAGGTCCATATTTGCTTTCCAGCATGACTGGACCAAGTCACAGCTCCACCCACAGTGTATCAATGTGCCAGTATGCCTAGTTTGAGAGGTATAAACACAGTTAGTCTTTTTTATAATCCCTTCAGTTGGCTAGAATCTTTTACGCATAACCATGAGCCCTCTCTTATTCTCATGCCAATGTATTGAAGAACAAAAAGCTCCTTAGCCCCTTCTGGGATATGGAACTCCCACATTCTGAATTTTCTGTTTAGGAATGCAGTCCTCAAGGACAGGCACTCTGCATTTGTCATCCGGTGAACAAATACAGCCTATTTTGCTCAATAGTTCTATTTTTATCTAAAGTCAGAGGGCAATTTCTTACTGCCAGCCACCCTTCTGTTGGCAATGAGAGAAAGCTCTTTGTAAATATCAAATGCTGTATAAATATGAAGAAATGTTCCCAGATAGCTCTTCCTTCCAAAGGCCCAGATGCTGAAAGGTAGGCCAGGTTTGGGAAACCAAAGTTAGATCAGTGATTTGGATGCAATGGACCACATTCCCCAAGTGACCTGAGGCTATTGTTCTCCTTCCAGTCTGACATCCATCTGGCTGCTGTCAAATGCCACCTGTCAGGGGCTGAGCTCACTCCCAAGTGGCAGACAGCTCTCCACATGGCACTGGAGATTAAGACCCAGCAGCAGCTTAGAGGGAAGGAGTTTTCCCTTGCCAAACTTTGTACTTACTGTTTCCATAACAGATGCGCCCAATGGCCCTCCCAGCGTGGAGCAGCAGATCTTGGTCAGAGCTTTCCAGATGAGGCAGCAGAGCAGACACCAGACCAGCGTCAATGCAGGGCTGCCTTAGCTCCTCTGCAGACAAAGGAAAACAAGGTTAAAGATAGTGCATGGGGAACAAAGGAGCTGGATATAAAATGGCATGGCTAGTGTGGGCCTTATGGACTGATAGGTTTTATGGACTGTGCTAAGAAGGGAAGGTAGCACCCAGGAGCTCAGGGTAAAACACTGAGAGAGGGAAGCCCAAATAATATTTTATAGGTGAAATCTGGTTAAAAATGAATGCCATGGGAGGGAGGGGTATGTGTGTGTGTGTGTGTGTGTGTGTGTGTGCGTGTATATGTGGTGAAAGAAGGTTAGAACTGGGATTTGGGCTCTGGGATAAAGGAAGATACAGGGAGAAATTATACTTTTGGGTGTTAAAGAGGGGAATGGGGTTGCCTTCAGTAGTGGTGTGTGCATTGTGGGTCTACATACTGGTTTTGGTTATTTTTCATTATGTCACTATTAATTATATTGATAGACTACCCAATGTCACAAGTAGCTCCAAATCTCACAGCAGCCAGTCCTCTTCCCACAAAGTGTGGGTAAAGATGATCGATCATGTTGGTTTGCTGTACACCCTGAGGAGCCATTCTGTCCAGAATCTCCTGATCCCCCAAATACCCACTCTGGTGAGTAGGTGTTAGTTGCTAGGAAGTAGGGGGCAGGAAATATGATGAGGTCACTTGATTTGAATTGGGGAGGGGAATAAGGGAAGAAGAGGGTGCCATAGAAAGAGGAGAAAGACAAGGAAACTTAGGATTCCAAGAGAAATAAGAGGCCAAAAACATGAAAGACAAATTCCTCTGATATTATAATTTTGCCCAAACCAGCTGTAGAAATGGCAGAGGGTCTAATGGTTTGAGTTTATATAGACAGATGGATGACTGCCACTGAGAGCATTGGCAAAGTCTCTAGTAGGCTAAACTGTGGAGTGGTATCCAGTGGTCACTCCTGGGTTCTTTTTCTGGGTTCTACTCCTGGGAAATTGCTGAGAGGGCAGGATTTCCAGAGTGCCTTGGAATACTTACCTGGCAGTTCTTAGAGGGAAACCCTATCCTGAATAAGGAAGGCAGCTAGAAGCTCTGGAGAAGCTCCTGGAGATGGTGATAGATGAGAAAATCTCTTGCTGTCTGAGGTTTCCTGGCTTCCCTTCCTGTTTGACTACTATCTGTTGTGAGATGGTCTTTGATTATACATTTTGATCTGTTTTTTTTCTGCTAATGACAAAACCCACATAGAATCATGCCAGCTATGCCAGGTCCTAAGCAATTCAGAAAGGCTGACATTTGAGACCCTCCCTCTATGATCTATCCCCTACCCTCCAATTCAACCACATCTTTCCATTCCTTCTCTGCACTCCAGCCAAATCATCCAATTTGTCATTTCCTGAACGTTCCTCACATTTCACTACTTCCATATCTTTGCTTATGTCCTCCCCTATGTCCAGAATTCCTGACTCCCATCTCTGCCTTGGAAAATCTGACCCAATTCCCAGAGTCCATCTCAAATGTTACCGCCTCTATGAAGTGTTTCCTGATTTGCCCTCTTTTCCTGTGCTAGAAGTGATCCCTCTTTTCTCTGAATCCCTGTGGCATTTTGCTCTTATTTCTCTAATGGCCCTCATGACAATAATATCATTTATACATACTGTAATTATAAAACACTTTACATATGTTATTTCATTTCATCCTCACAGCAACCATGTGAAGTCGTTGCTATGATTATTATTATTATTATTATTATCCTCATTTTAAAGATGAGGAAACTGAGGTTAAGAGGGATTAAGCGATGCCCAAAGTTAAGTGTCTGAGGCAGGATTCAAGGAGTTTCGTCACATTCTGCCCTGTATTCTAAATATTCCTATACTGATCTTATCTTCCCTGCTATGCTGCTTGTATTTAATGATTTAGATTCAATCAATAAGCATTAATAAGTACTATGTGACCTCAGACACTGTACTAGGCACTGAGGGTGCAAATACAACAGTAAGTCTGGCCCTGCCCTTAAGGAGCTTATATTCTTCTGGTACTGGAAGGTATGAACAGCCCTCTCAGACTGCCCATTTTTCCCCCGCCCTAGATTAGCCTATAATGAAGGGCCAGCTTTCCCATTAGCCCCTCAGTGCTGTGTTTCTAATGAGGGAAATCCTGCCTCTGAACTCCTAGGTGTCACTCTGGTGAGTGGCTCCATTCCCTCACAGCCTTAGCTCACCAGAGGGAATGTTCTGATTTAGGAGATGGACACAGGTACCCCCCCCCATCCTATGGGGTCTAGGCACTTGCCGTTCTTAGCCAGCTCCGCCAGGACTTGTGCAGCGGGCACTGCGCATCGTGGATGACTTGTCAGAATCTGGCCCAATGTTGTGAAGATCCCACTGGTTTCAAGAAGGTTCCCTGATAGCTGCTCTACAAGAAGAGAAGCTGGTTAATGATTACAGATTTTCCAGGCTGTAAGGGACCCCAGGAGCCATTTAAGCCTTCATTTTTTTACAGATATGAAACTGATCCTCAGAGTTTGAAACTCTTGCCCAAGGTCATACAACTAGTTGGTGGCAGAATCGAAAACAGAACCTTGGTATTTAGACTTCTAGTCAATGCACTATACACCCTCGCTGTTTGGTCCATCATTATTTTCAGCGTTTCTGGCAACTAGATATTGCAACGAGCTTGGGAAGGGGAAGGGAAGAGTATAAGCATTTATGAAGTGCCTACTATGTGCCAGGCACTGTGAGATAGGTGCTGTTATTATCCACATTTAACAGTTGAGGAAACTGAGGCAGACAGACATGTAAAGTCTGCTTGCTAGATATAAAGTGGCTTGCTCAGGGTCACACACCTAGGAAGTGCCTGAGGCTGGATTTGAACTGAAGTCTTCCTGACTTCTGTTCTAGTGCTCTATTCACTGGACCTGCTTGGGTCTGGGGGAGCAGAAGAACAGGTGGGCACATTATGCAAGGAGGTTTGAGTGGAAAGACTTCCCATAAACCCGAACTTTCCATCCTGGAAATTCTCTGTCAGATTTTCCTTCAGGTGGCCTGGGTGAAGGTTTTGCAGCTGGGTATATCATGAATACCTCTCAAATTAGCAGAAAAAAGCAAAATAAAACAAAACAAATGATAGAAAAAATCTCTCATTCTCTGACTCTGAAGACTGACTGGCTGGGGAGTTGTTACTTAAAAACCCGGTGTCAGACTAAGGCATCCACAGGTCAGCTTGGTGGGAGTTGCGTTTGCAACCTAAAAATAGACAAAGACTTTTTATCGCTTTCCTTTGTTAACTGTGACAACAAAGCAGCAGCCATAATTAGTTTTTCATCTGAAGACATGTAGTGCAGCAATCAGCTAGTGGGGATGATTATAGGGTTCACCTCTGCTGGCATCAACAGATTTTCTTTGTTGCTACAAAATATGGAGTGATTTTCCTGCTCAGTTTCATGACATCCCATAATTAGAATGTATTATCTTGACTTTTCAGCTGCCTCAGTGTCATCCAAGGATACCATATAGAGAGATAAGGGATGGTAGACCCTATTAGTGGAGGTCAAGTTGCTGATGGCAAACACTGTTTCAAAAAGAATGCCCTCTGTTGGAAATCTTGGTATACAGCTTCCTTCCTCTGCTTCTCCCAGAAGGTAAAACCAGTAGCCTTCCCACATGGGCTTTTGGGAAGGCACAGAAGCAGTGGAATGTAAGCTCTTTGAAGGCAGACACTGTTTCTTTTTTTTTTCCTTTGGAACCTTAGTGCCTGGCGCGCTCTCTCTCTCTCTCTCTCTCTCTCTCTTTCTCTCTCTCTCTCTCTCTCTCTC